GACCAGGCGACACTGGCTAGATAGCTGCAGCAGAGCCCTTTTCGTGTTCCACCTTTGATTGGGGGCATGGGTCAGGTGTCGTTCCCTGGAGGAAGTCAGTCTCGAGACCCAAGTTAGAGATTGCAGGCAACTCTAGGCTAATTAAGCGTGTCATCCTCCGGGAGCTAGTACTCCAGATGAGAGGGCTACTAAGGCTGTTGTTGCCAGGAGTACAACAGTATCAGGAGTGCGGCCAGGAAGACTCAGTGATCTGCCGAGGGTTTGCGTGAGGCTGGGGTGTAGGGGAGGTGGAGCCCTGTAGATGACTGCCGAACGGACTCCATACCGCAAAGGGACCCCGAGTGGTCAGCCCCCCCCAACTGGTATAACATTCAAAGTCGTGGCAGGCGAGATTGGGGAGACCGCTCCGGGAGTAAACACCTAGTCACTCAACAGCCTACAGGAGACCATAGGGCAAACACCACCGGCCACTTGGGCCAAGGCCTCACGTGACCGGATGTTTGAGGCCAGGCGGTCACAATGTGTTTTAGTTCAAAAGTGGACTGCCACCATTTTCTGCATGCTGATGCACATTTCACCACTTATATAAAACTGCATGCATCACAGCGCTGGGCACTTTGCATGCATGTATATAGAAGTGCCCTGGGTCCCTGACTCCAGGCTAGGCTGCCTCTGCTGGTCTCAGCTCTCCCTGCCTTGACCTGCACCAGCCCAGCCCTCTGAGTCCCTGACCCCAAGCGAGGCTGCCTAACAGTGAATGCCCTGCCAGACAACCCTCTGTGGCCTCCAGGCCTCCCATGTAGACACAACCCAGTCCTCTTGCTTTTAATCCAAACATAAACACAAGACTACTGGCTGTATAACACAACTCTCCTCACACTGGGTCATAGTTTTCCCACAAGCTCTAAGTCCCCCTTAGCTCTTTCCTTGCAGCTTTCTGGGGCAGCTTGGGTGTTGGTCAAGCCACCTCCTATAGCCATCTTACTCAGGGGGCAGGTCTACACATTCATTAATGCCTTAGGTACTGTGCGTTTAGTTTAGTACTTGCTTAATAAAGTACCTGTAGTGCCAGTGCATAGTTTTTTCCATGATGCTTACTGCGCATTAACCTAATAACACTGAGCAGTAGGCTATAAACACATTTAACTGCCACACTACTGCAGTGTTATTAGGCTAATGTGCAGTAGGCATCTCTTGTAGATGTGCCCAGGAGCTCCTCTCTCTACAGGGCCAGACTGACTACCTGGTCTCAGATACTGGTTTTATCTGCCTCCAAAGCCCCACCCCTTCCTCTCAGGTGGTTCTCCAGCCCCTGACGGGGGTTTCCATTCTGGGCCTGATGACCAGCCTGTCGTTCTCTGCTGAAGCTTAGCCCAGCTTTTTGTGGCTGTTTGCTTCCAGGCTGCCTAGATGTCTGCTTTGGTGCAGCTTACTGCTCTGCACCTAGCTCCTGGGATAGTTACTCCCCAGAGGTAGCTCCTATCTCCATGGGTTTTGGCCTTCTAGCTTCCCAGAAGTTAGCCTTTGTCCAGCTGCCAGTCTTACCCCCTAAATACAACCTGCTAAAGTAACAGGAGCTTCTGGCTCCATGTTACAGTAATGTATGGGTCCTTCTAATGTACTATCAACAGAGTGCAAACGCTTAAAATCCCTGCAGATGGCACTGCTTATAAAGGACTCTCTTCCCACCTTTGACCTTGCCCTAGCCTTCACATGTTCCCTATGCCAGTGCTTATAGGGGGTCATCTGAACACAGCTTGCAATTCTTTCCTACAGTTCTTGTACCAGGACATTTCTCCCCTACCCAGACCTGCATATAGTGTCTCCTTGAATATAGTGTGTGCAGAGGTCAGAGCAGTGATGAAAATGTCACACCTAGTCTGGACCAGTAAATTAACTAAGGATGGGCAAGCAGGGCACCAGCCCCAGGCACCAACTTAGAGGAAGCACAAGAGATTGGCAGCCATTGCCACTGCTGGTCTGGTCCTGATGCTGTCCTAGGCACAAAAACAGCTCATTCCTCCTTTGGTTTGGACAAAGCATGAATGCCAAACTGCATTTGTTTATCTCATGGTCTAATATAGTGGTTTTTAACCTGTGGTCTGTGGACCCCTGGGGGTCTGCAGGTTGTCTGCAAAAGATGACTATGATCAATCAAAAGTTTGTGAATACTCACACTTACCATTCAAAGGGGTCCGCACCTCCATTCAAAATTTCCAAAAGGGTCCACAAATAAAAAAGGTTGAAAACCACTGCGCTAATAGGATATAATTTTTCATTGCAGATGAGGCTTTATAGGACCTGACGTGCACTTCAGCCCATGAAAAATTATGCTATATATGTCTACTTTGATTAGTGGATAAGGTGCAGCTCTACTCTCCTTTCTACTTGCCTTTAAGACACACTGGATTGGAAGAGCTGAGCATTTCAATATGCACCAGGATTCCTGTGGTTGACACATTTTATTGGACTGACTACACAGTTGGGATAGACTTTAATCTGCACTTTTAGCTTTCTCAGTATGAGCCATTTATGGACACTTCAGATATGAGCATCCTGAGGGTATGTTGGCAGTGGGGGTCTCAGTCACATCAGTGAGGAAATAAGCCCTACCAGCCATCTTCCACTCTGTATGCAATGCATCAAGCCTATAAATGACATGGTATGGGCACCTTAAAGGTGTCCCAAGCCATCCTTTCTCCCCTATTTCTGGGGTTGACATGGGTGGAGCATAAGTGAGTGGTGCTTATTTCCTTGAAGCAAGACTGAGCATCCTGTATCTATAATGTAGACCTCCCTTAAACATCTACACATGGCCTTTGACCAAAATAACCAAGAGTGGAAATTTAAGGAATCAGCTACTTTGGTTCCAGTATGTGTTTGAACTTCATCTTTCACTACACTGCCACAGTTCACTGATAGTTCACTCAGATGGTTGGCTCTTATGATTTGTGTCCACACACACTGTGGTTAGGCAGCATCAAAACTACAACAGCAGAGAAGCTGCAGGGCAGATACAAAAAAAACAAATTCATTATATAACTGGTTAAGGTGACAGAATCCCCAAAAAGCTGCCTCTCTACTCTCCTACCAGTACAGCTAGAGTGGTTGCAGTAACAGCGGGAAAGCTGGTGGAGTCTGGCTGCTGGAGACAGTTCTGATAATTCAGCAAATGGTGCATGGCAATAGCTGTTGACATGATCAATTGGAAATTTAATTTCAGCAGATTTGTTTAAAAAAACCCTCCTGGAAAAAATCCATGGAGATTCACCTATCTTTTTTTCTATTGTTAACCTGCCAGCTATTGGAAAGCTCTGAATGCTTGCAGATAAAGAGGAGGAGACAGCTGTGAAAGAGGATTTAGAAAAAAGAAGAACTAGAATTCAGGAAGTGACTGTTTGGCTGTTTACTTGCAACATGGTTTAGCACAAAATAGAGGGATTGAAAAAAAGTTTCTGAAAAGCTAGGAAAAATGTCAAAAAGGTGTCTCTAGGGAATATACAATTTGTAAGCAGTAGCATACTAGTGTCATACTAGGGACCCTGTCTGGAATTGGCTATGCTTAGAAGAGTCTGTTACATTATTAATAATAATCAGAATCATCTTGGCTCACATGCTGATAAAGTCACAGTCAAACCACCAGTCAAAGATGCACCCGAGCAGGGAACTAAAATGATTAAGACATCTACACAAGCAATTTATTCACCTGAATAAACTCCAGCATAGTTTGTGCTAGAGTTTAATGCTCCTGGGTGCTGTGTCTGCATGTGCCAGCCTGGAGCTGCTCCAACCCAGTTCAGTGCGCTGTGGAGGGGCTGGCTGGAGCACAAGGGTGCTTCAGTGTGGGGCTCGCTGGCAGGCAGCCCCCACAGTGAAGCACCCTCATGCCCCAGCCAGACCTGTCAGTATCTACATACACAGTACAGTAAATAACACCGCTGCAGGATAGTACTTGGGTTTACAAGTACAATTCTATGGTGGCATTTATTAGTTTACTCTGGCTGAATAGGGCTGCATGTGTAGACACAGACTTTACTGAGGAGCCAGTTAGTCAGCTCTGCAGTAAATGTCTCATGTACACATGCCCAGTGGCTCCTAAGGAATGATATGGCTAACCTCACACATAGGTGCTTGTCTCCCGAGTACCTCTTTACAGCTAGGAGAAAACTTCTGGTCTGAGCCCAAAAGGAACCTTCTGTGCTGTGGACTGGTTAAATCCTTTCAGATGAGCAGCACCTATTCAGCATTAAAAGCATCAAATCAAGCTTAGAAGGCACCAGCCAGTCTATACCCATATGGACCTACATTCATTTAGAGCCAGTTCAAAAGGGGAATGTAATAAGTGGGAACTACAGATTGGGAGCACGCAGCTGCTATGTTCCAACAGTTCCATATGGACAAGCCAGGAATGACACAAATGTAGTATCACTGCTCTAAATATAACCCTGATGAAGCAGTGTTAAAGCTGGAGCAATTTTGCTACCTTTGTATTGCTCCTGGCTTTTCACACCTTTAACTGTAAGCAGGTGCTCTTGCCTACATTAGATTTATGAGTATAAGAAGATTGAGAACTACTAGTATAGAGACACTAGGACAGATTGTGGCACTTAAAGGGCAAACTTAGAGGCAGTGTAGCACTTCCTGGTGCACAGGGGAAACGCACATTTGACCAGCTGACTGATGCACCTCTCCAGCTAGTAGAATCATAACAACAGCTCTTCCACCCTTTTCAGCATAGATTTTAACTCGCAGAACAAAGAAAGCATTCATGAGCTTCTCCAGTGGCAGCTAACCCTTCCACATGGAGAAAGGGTACTTCCTCTCTTGGTACCTTTGCAGCAGTCTAGGACAACCTGGCTATGAGAGTGCTGTCTGTTTTAATCATAGAGATGATGGAAAGTTAGAGTCTTCAGTAACACAGCTGTATTTTACACCAAATCCTTAATAAAATTAATGCCATGTATTCCAGATACTGGAAGGTTATAGACAAATGTCAAAAACAGCGAGTTAAAGGTATGGGGACTTACTGCACATCCACTACTCTGCCCATGTGAACACTTTAATAAATAGAAAATACAATCTAGATCAGGATTCCTTAGAGCAGCATAGGTTTCCTTTACCGCAGGAAAAGAGCAGCCGACACGCAGCACATCCCCCACCACTTTAAGCCATTTAATTTCTTGTTTTGTCCATATCCTAAGCATTCAATAGTGATGTTATGCTTTGTGGAGTTGACTTGAGAGTGGCAGGTATCTGAGGTATATTTAAAGTCATAGATAACAAACACAGGAACTTGCACTGCTGCAGGGATGAACTCTGGTTGATTAGTCCTCAGAAGATATGGATCCTTTCCTAGTGAGATCATGGGCTGAACACTGAAGTGTATGAGACAGAAACAGTTGGAATAAGTCAATTGATTTCTATTAGTTCTTTCGTATTAGGAATGCTATGAAATCTAAGCCAAGGTTTTTATTCCCTCCCCTTCCCTTTGCTTTCATAGTCAGATCTGTATAGCTGAGAAATGTTGTACAAAACTCATAATGAGCAAGAAATGCATTCTAGCAGGTATCAAAGGATATGGTATAATAGAAGGATGAGTCTTGAACTGGAACTGGAGATCTACCAGGATGATTCATTATCTTCGTTTTTAAATGCAACAGAGACTTTGAAGAGTAAACAGATGGAAGAGAAGGCAATCTTGCTCTTGAAGTAATGAGACTGACTCACCACTCTGTCACATCAGCATAACGAACCCATCCTGCCCCTCCCCCAGCATTTGGAAGAACAGTCATCATCGGTGCCACGTCACAGTGAACTCAGTCACTCCACTGGAAGCCAATGCAGTTAGACCAGCCTGAAACTATTGTAGTGAACTAGGCATGAATCAGACCCCAAATTTTGGTTTTGGATGATGAATTGAAATATGGGTTTCTCTGCATCCTCTGCTACCTTTGACCATTTATTGGCAAACAAAAGTAGAAGCTACAAAGTTCAAGGAAAAGTCAGTCAGTGTTTTTGGAAGGATTCACAGAAGCAAGTGGTAGTAACATATTTCAAACCAAAAACTGAGCCGAAACCATTTCTTTCATCATCAGGAAAGGCTGTCAGCCACATCGCTTTCAGCTCCACTGTGTAACCCCACAGTGCATGCTGTCTTAGTGCAACATCATGATATTAGTAGTACATCATGGATCCGCAGGAGCAGAATGCAAGGGTGCAAATATCACCACTAGGAATGAACGTGTAGAATTCCTTAAAACCACAGGCTTGATTATCTCTTGCCTTGTACTTTGTATATCTACTTACAGTGGTACAAAGCAGGTGCAAAGGACAAGACAGACTGGCACAGTTTTGCACATGTTTCGTACCTTTATAAATGAAAACACAACACACAAAGCAGTGAGGAGGCAGAGCTACCAGACTGGATCTTCAGTGTAAAGTGGCATAGCACCATTGGATTTCAGACTTGGCTCAGTATATAGAAACCACAGGGCTCCATTCCCATATTCTTCATCTAGAACATAGCTCCGTACAACAGATGGAAATATACTGGGAAAGAGAAAAAACCTCTGAAGCAACTTGCCTCCCTTCTCCACCTCATCAATGCTGAAGAATTCCAGTCCTGGTATGAAAGTGTGCCCTGTATTAGTTGGTAAGAACAGCCCAGGGAAATCTTTATGATCTGATTGACTGCAGTTATTCTGATGCAATGCAATTAAAGGAGAATAGGTAATTTAATATTAATATTGACTGTAGGAGAGTGCATCTCAGACTAAACACAAGACTACAACTTTGATTTGGCCTCAGTCTACCTTCTGTGTGCTGCAGTATTTCTATTCCTCAAGCACAGTGACTATTGTATAACATATGAGCTAGAAAGCAATTCAGTACTGAGAAAGTCATTGATCAAAGCAGGGAAAAAAGATACATGACAGCTGGGTTGAAAAGCAGAATGCAGAGTTCAGCATGTCTTGTTCTGCACTCGCATACAAGATACCACAGTTCAGTTTCCTATTGTGGCATCTCAGAAGGGTGAAGCAGCACACAGAATCAAGGTGGGAATACAGTCCCTGACCACACAGCAGCAAAATATGTTGTTCTGGACTAGCCAAGAGGGAAGAAAGAAAAATAAAATGTCAAATGTGGTGAGAAATATAAGGGTCATAAAGCAACCAAAAGGGTATGCAAGTATTGGAAGAATTCTGGCTGAGCATAACTGAAGGTTTACTTTGCTAGTAACTTTCTCCTTTCCTAAATGAAAATATCCTCTCCCAGTTTATTATTTATCTATTCACAAGGTTTAGAAATTGAGGTAATCTGAGGTCATCATTTCCATTTGCTGGATTTTAATAAAGAACGTTGTTGAAGGCAAATGAGGCCTGTACAGGTGCTGGCATGAATAGCTATATCCAACCAGGAGCTGAATTGCTTGTCAACTGGTGTTGCTTATTGTGTTCCCTCATCTAGTCTTTCTGGTTAAAGAAAAGAAAAGAAAAGAAATGAGTTGCAGTAAAAAAAAACCACAAAATACAACCACCCAAAACAAAAAAAAAACCTGAACAACGAAAGCCTTAAACTTTAGCTGTGACCTACTTTCTAGGTAATATAAGTCAGTTTATAGTAATAGATCAAATCACATCAAACCCAGACATTGCATTTAAAAGGAAATGAGCTCCCTTTTCACACTAATACTTAACATAAAAGATGGGATGCTATTGTAGTGAATGGCTTAATTTAATTTAAGCATCAGTCATCCTTATTTTATTATGGAAAAAAACCTGCTGGATAACGGCAATAGGGGCTCATTAACAATTTATTCTTTGGAAAAAAAGGATGAAATACCATTATAAGCAGCTCAGGTACTACTCTTACATAGCCAGGAACAGGATTAAAGGATTGATTACACTGCCTCTAACCATTGATACCTCAAGTCCCCTCTACAACTGCTGTGCCTGATGCGGCTGCTTCTGCAAGTAAATACACAAACGTACACACCCCAGACTGTACCAGCTTCATTTTACAACACTGTACACATTAAGAAAAATACTCTTCATTTCTTCAGTGACCAGTTCATGCTTTGACACCTGAGACCTAGCCAAATTCTTCTTAAGTATTTCATCATTTGTCCTAAAAGTGTCCACCACTTAAATATCTAAACGGAGGATTTACACCATAGCGGATTGCAGCAGTCTTAGACAACATATGCAATGCATGAAGATGCATATTCTTTGTGCATCTCAAAATGACCCACTATTAATTTAGTCAAGTAAGTCACAGCAATAGATACTTTCCAGCTCTTCTTCATATGGTTTGTTCTTGATTAATTGCTCCTGATTTACTCCATGCATGAACACACTTATTCTAGAATGCTGTATTCCTGTTTAGCTCATGTGACAGAAGAAGGGCTTCCATTTTGAAAAAGTGACCCAGTAGGCTTAATTTTCCCAGTTGCCTTATGTTGGCTTTTGTCCATAAATCAGGAAGCCATGTTTACATTGGTAGTGCCAGTGTTCAGATACCTTAGTGAGCAGGCTTAGTTTCACTGGTACCTACTGCTCCTTTTAGTGGTCCCATCATCACAGGTTCCATAGGAAATTGTGCCCTTATGAATTCCAATGTGCATGGGACTCTGACCTTTTAAATATACCAGGTTCTTCTGTTAGCATTTTGAAAATAGCTCATTTGTCTCCCTCTCCCCCTAGCCCCCAACCTTTCAAAATGTTTTAATAACCCCTGAAATGCAGGCTTTTTTTTTTTTTTTTTATTTAAAGGAAGGTATTCACTACATACATTGGAAGGACAGGGTATTCATGGCCAAGGACACTAGGGCTAATTCAACTATTACAAAAATTTCCACAAGATCTTTAATGTCCTTCACCAAAGACCGCATCCAAAGCCCTTTTAAAAGTTAAGTGGAGCCTTCCCATTGATTTTGCTGAACTTCAGATCAACTTTAAGATCTTGGTTTTCATCCAAGAAACCCTAGCACTACAAACTGCATTCAGTGCAATTTATCTACCCCACCCTGACATACGGCTGAACTGACCCTGCTAAGAAATACAGCACAGCTTCCATGTTAAACTTGGTGTATTGACCAAAACAGGAGTAATCATGAACTTCAGAGAGAGGATAGAAAGAAAACATCTTTGAAGCTTTACAGATTATTCCATACCAAAAGCAATGACATTCCAATTTTTTTATATTACAGCCACCTGAACATTTGTGGGGTTTTTTTACTGACATTTTTGAAAACAAAAACTACCACTTAGCCCCTCTCCCAGCCCCCAAATATTGAACATTTTTTAAAACAAAAACTACCACTTAGCCCCTCTCCCAGCCCCCAAATATTGATGCCTTTTCTGATTCTGACACCTTTCGATATCTTTTTTTTTTTTTAAATAGATTTTTTTAGTACAGAAAGCTTTCTAGGTAGTATCAGAACAAAAAAGCAAAACAAACAATCCCCTCTAACCCTACTAAGATTCTTTTCTTTTTTGTGAAATGAAGTCACTTTTTTTTATCATTCTATTTGCTAGAGATGCCAGTCCTTTAAAGCAATACACTGTCTGCTTCCCACATCAGATCTCTTCCTTTGTTCATTTCCATACAGCCATGTTAATCCTTCAAAAAGGATTCAGCTTCAGTGAGTGGAGAGACAAGGATTTGAATTTGATTGGCAACCAAAAAGATCTCTCTTCCCCCCACTCCCAAATGCTTCCCCCCAGGTTTCTTTCTATATCAGCTCACGACAGACTGACCCACTGGGAATGCTTATTGACACATGCAGCTCTCCAAGGCATCAACCGCACTGCACTTTTTTGTAGAAGGCAGGATTGTATTCACATTTGTAAATAAGAGGAAAATAAGCTCTCTGGTTTCACCAACATTCTCTTCCAACAAGACGGCAATATTATGCTTTGAAACATAGGTGTAAACACTTTAGTACAGGGGTGGGCAAAATATGGCCCACAGGCTGGATTCAGCCCACCAGGCTATTTTATCTGGCTCGTGGGGCCCCTAAAAATTTAGAAAATATTTATCTGCTCCTGGCTGCCTGTCAAAGATGACAGGATTCAGGGGCAGTAGGACCCAGGGAGAGCTGGCAGCAAGACACAGCAACTTAGCCCCACCCCACCCCAAGCTGTGTGTGTGTGTGTGTGTGTGTGTGTGTGTGTGTGTGTGTGTGTGTCCCACACAATCGTCTTTGTCCCCTGTGAGAGCCACAACCTGTATGGAGACCAAGAGAAAACATACTGATCTTCCACCAGTTAAACAATCTATTTTTTTTTCTTGTTGTAATAGAAGTGCCTGATTTTGCAGAAATATCAGCTGAAATCAGTGGGGGTTCCTAATCTTCAACTCTTTGGAAAGAAAC